AGTATGAGGAGTGACTATCACAACAAAAGTAAGATAGATCATATTTTGATTTATAGAAAATTTGTTTGTTGCAAAGAGGGGCAAATAGATGTGGATAAAAGGGATTGAAAAGTAGTAAATCCGCGAGCTGAGACACGAACCAAATGTCCAGTTCACATGTGTGTATCCCTTAATCGAGAAATTGGAAAATTATTCATAGCCAAATTGGGAGGAAAATCATAATCATCCATTGCACCTTACAGAATGTGCGCATATGATGTCATCCCAAAGGAAGGTTTCTACAGTGCAAGACATTCACGTTGACATGGAAACGTATTGTGAGATATCACTTAAAGATTCATATGAAGTTCTAAGTACCCAGGTAGGTGAAAGGGGAAGGCTAGGTTTCACTTGGCAAGATTAAAAGAATTACATCTGTGATAGAAGGCAACGAGAGTTGAGATATGGTGAAGCTGGTACTTTGTTGAATTATTTTGGGGAAGAAACAGTTAAAAATCCATCATTCTACTATGGTATACAATTAGATATTGAGAGCGTATTACAAATATTTTTTGGGCTGACCCGAAAATGATTATTAATTATGGACACTTTGGGGGTGTTGTCTCATTTGACACAACATTCTGTACAAATAAGTAGTATTGGTCTTTTGCATGCTTTGTTGGCTTTAATTATTTTAGAAAGACTATGATATTTGGTGCTGCATTATTGTATGATGAAACGGCGGTATCGTTTCAATGGTTGTTTGAGATATTCTTTCAAGCAATGTCTGCGAAGAAACCTATCACCATCTTCACTAACCAAGATCAAATAATGGCTAAGGCAATAGCCCAAGTGATGCCAAAGACATATCATGGGCTATGTACTTGACACCTTTCCCAAAATGTTTGAAAGCATCTTGAGAATATATACAAGGATGGTTCAAATTTTGTCACAAAATTACAAAGGTGCATCTATGAATATACAGAAGAACATGAATTGTTTGAGACTTGGAATAATTTTCTTGATGATTATAATTTTCGGGACAATAATTGGATAACTACAACTTAGGCATTGACAGAGAAATGGGATAAGGTGTATATGAAGAAAACTTTCACAGCATGTATGAGGAGTACCCAACTTAGTGAGAGTTTGAATGCAAAATTGCAAAAGCACTTAAAGTCAGATCATGATATTGTTCAATTCTTTATTCACTTTGATAGAGTTGTAAATGATAAGCGCTATGTGAAGTTAGAGGAAGAGTATCATGCTAAGCAAAAGTTGTCAAAACTGAAGTTCAAAAAAGCCTCCATGTTGGTGTAAGCTAGAGAATGTTATACTTCTCCTATGTTAAAGTTTTTTCATGAGTATGACACCTTCCAGTGTTTTGTTGTGAATTCATGCAATGATGTGGGCCAACATCATCACTTTGTTGTTACATTGTTTGAAGAAGAGAGGGAGTATTTTTTGTGGGTAAAAGCTAGTGAACAAATAGTTAGTTGTAGTTGTTGGAAGTTTGACATGGTTGGTATATTATGTAGTCATGCACTTAAAAGGTTGGACACAATGAATATTAAGCAAATTCCTAAGTGATACATAATAAAGAGATGCAAGGAATATTTATACACGAGATTATATTGTTACATTAAATGTGGAGGGTCCTGAGTTGGTGACAGTATCCCATTATAGGCAACTATTTCCTATAATGGTAAAGTTAGCATCACATTGCTCTGATCTTGAGCTTGTATATCAATTGGTGACTCGAGGTGTAGTTGATTTGTTTGAACAAGTTGTTAAAATGTTTGCATCACATATTGATGAAGGCAATGCTTCAGTTGAAAGCACATGTGCGGATAAAGAAGGAACAAAGAATGTGGACCCAAACATTTTACAAGTAAATGGTATAAAAAGGAAGGATGATGATTACAAAGGTTGGGGTCGACTAAAGTCGTGGCACAAGAAGCAAGCTAAGAGAAAAAAAGTAGTTTTACAACCCTCTAAAATGTCCAACGTATGACAAATCGATTATATGTTTTTTTATTATTATTATTATTGTATGTTTATCTTACATCTACTTAACATATGACAACATTGATTTATGGATTATTTTTCGTTAAGATACCTTTATCTTCACAACCAGAATGTTCATAGTCATTATCTTCACAAGTATGTTCACAACCATTATCTACGCAGGCATCCAATATTTTGCAAACTATACCTGATTTTACATCCAATACTCAGGTATGTTAGTTTTTTCATACAATGATTTAATGTATATTCAATATCTGATTTAATGTATATTCTCACATCTATTTTCATTGATCCATTCCAATTCATGTAGGGTATATCATTTGATGCAACACAAACGCATTCGTTCGGCGCGGAATCCTTCTTTATGAACACAAATTTTTATGACTTTTTTAAGGATATTTGAAGAACAAAGGGCAAAATGAAAGTACATTTTGTAATCCAATAGTTGTGTTGTTGAACAATTTTGTTGTATTGGGATGTTGAATATTATTTGTGAGATGTTGAATGCTATTTCAGATTGGTGATGGTTGAATCCAAGTGTATTTGAGGTGCTAAACATCTAACAAGGAAATTATCCAACAATGCTACCGTCATCCAAAAATGCTAAATTATCCCACGAACACACAAATAGGTAATTTTCATAAATAAAATGGAGCATTACATAATGTACAAAAGCTCTTTCTCATAAATGAAATTATAATGTTATATTATTTTAGTATTACAACGAAAAACAACTCTAGACTTTGCACTTGGTTGCAACCTCTTCAACTCTTTTTATTTCATTAAGATCACTTGGAATTTTATCACCTCTTCAACTCTTATTGTTCAAAACTTGCATTGACCATCCACACAAACTTGCATCGATCTACACTACTTGTTCCCGTACTTGAAGATGCCATGTTGTAACCTACAAAACAATAAATACAACCATAATCATAAATTCATAATTTAGAATTGAAAAAGACATTTGATAATTGAGAATCTGAAAATGGTGGGAAAATGCAAGATATGACATAATTATAATTGATAACCATAATTGAAAATCCGAAACCATAAATTCATAATTGAGAATCTGAAAACGGCCCATTACCCAGAGCCACAAACCCATGTTTTTTTTAATCCACAAAACCATGTTTTATGGGTAGAATTGCATAGAACTTATCCCAACTACAAGTCTGGTTTGCTTAAATATACAGTTCATGCTACTAAATGCAAATTCTAAGATTCATGAAATACTTATGTTTGTATGCAATGGTTTGGAAAGAAAAGAACTGGAATGAAAGGAAAGTTTGTGGATTTAAGGACCCTTCACCCATTTTTCTTTTCTTCCCATAAGTGTAAGAAACCCATTTTTCTTGTTTAAAAATCAGAAAATGGAGCATCAAACACATACCCAGGTCTTGTTTCTTATGCTAAAAACTACCCAAATTTCCCAATCAAACAAACAAGAATCCAAAAGAAATAATAATGTCAAATAGAGCAGAGAAAAGCTTACATATAATCAATCGAAAGTTTGAATTTTTTTGTCCCAACTCGTCCACTTAGGGCAAAAAAAGAAAAACCCATCTTGGGTGAAATTGAGTAGCAACATTACCAAGCAAGGTCTCCTCTTCCTCCACTGTTTGTTTTCGATGCCGATTGAACGATGATGGCGATAGATACCAATGGCGATAGCGAAGCGAGGCGAGGCGCGGCGATGAAGAGAACTTCGACTTCTACTCGACGAAGAGGACTGTTGATTTGGGGAGGGGCTGAAGGCACAGTTCATGGGTTATTGGAACGGTACCGTTTAACGAAAAAAAAAAAAAGTGAAAAAACGGCGTCGTTTTTGGGCGAACATCATCCCTCGCCATTTTCAGAGAAAAGCAGAGGAGCTGGATCCATGAATGCTGAACATTAGCCAATGAATGCTTTAAATGCTTTGCAAACCGCATTAATTACTCGGCCCTCGAGTGATGTTATCATTACAACATTTGACTCCAACCACCTGCAAGATACTCTTGAGCATAATAAATATGCAGCTCTAAGTAATATGACCCACATAATTACACGTCAGCACCCTTTAAGGTATAAATAGTCCAAAAGACTAGGTCTCATTTACACACATGCAACTCAACTTACGTTGTATCCTTCATATCCTTTCATTGGCACGCTGACTGACTTAGGCAACGAAGGGTTTATACATCCAGCAAGGGAAAAGTAGGTATACAATTTTGTGCATCACACGAGGTTATATTTGAGAACATAAATAACTTTGTTTTTTTTTTTTTTAATGAAGTACCTCTTCAAGACTGGATCTATCCCTGTGAGAATAAACCACGGATACCAATAATTTACCCACAAACCATGAATATCAATTAAGCACAGAAAATACTAACGATTCATCCAGGTCTAACTCAACATTGTTGGCCTACCTATGGCGGCTGAAAACATAAATCAGTTTGCACATGTAGTATGCGCATCAATCCTGGAAACATGTTAGACTGGACGAAACGCATCATAAGACTACTCGAGTTATATAATTGTGACGAAACAAAAACAACTTCCTGAAAAATAGGGGTTAGTAATAAATAGATGCTTGAGCTTGACTGGGTAAGGCCCGCAATGAAATTGACAATGACAACCCAGGAATGACCTCTTTTTCTGTTCGCAGCGACAAATCATAGCTACCACCCTCCACGTTTCATTTTTTGACATTGATTAGATGAAAAGTGTCAATTTCGCAACCGACTCCTATCCTTTTGTCTTATGTTTATCTTGTGTTGTCATCATGACGAGGCCTTCGTTGTGCACGGCATTCATTCTTGCTCCATACCAAATTCCACCAGAAATGGGTCTCCCACAAAATAGAAATATACTTGATCCCAATCCTACCATAACTATACACAAAAAACCATTTAATTCCAAAACAATTCAAATTATACCAAGTCAATGAAGGAATGAAAATCATACTTTTTCGTTAAAAATACCAATCAAAACCAACTCTCCAACCAAGACAACACCCACGAGTGCTGCGCTGGTTTGCTAAATTTGATCAATAATTTTAAAAATTTATTGGACATAATTTCGTATTAAAATTTTCCTCTTTTTTTATTGCTACTCTGCCTCCATCACCACAGCAGGTAAATTCCTTCAACTCATTTTTTGGGACAGTGATGTAATGTACCCATCGTAGATCCCTGCCTCTACCTGGATGATATATCACCTCACAAGGCTCTGAGGGTATGCATCCAGAGCTGCAGCTACATTTTCTGAACTGCCCACCGCCCTCTTCAGCCTCAACTATATTTTGTTCCACACGGCCTTCCCCGTGAAGTGCCAAGAGTTTGTGGTATGTGGCCGAAAACCACATGGGTTGTCCATCATGCCAACTGGATTTTGCACACAAACCTTATTAACAATGGTCAAGGCATTACTTTGAAGCTGGGACATTTGCAGCCAAATTTCATACCCATGGCGATATGTCCACAGGAAAGAGATGGCAGCAGCTCAACCGATACTTACAATCTGCAATAGCTTGTCTGCTCATTGACCGGAACTACTCAGCATCTCTAAAGAGGCTTGAAATTTACTTACAGGCAAGTGTAACGAGCCCTTGAATTTTGAAGCTGCGTGGATAGCGTTCCCTTGAGCAAAGAATTCACCAAATACATAGGGAATATTGATGAATTCCTCCGGAGTAGGGCTTGTGTTATGCCCACCAAGCTGACAACGTGAATGAAGTGGGTATTAGAAGACATGCCAAACAAATTAAGAAAACAAAGATAAAATACAAATGCAAACAACATATGTGCCAAAGGTGCATAAACATGCAGCTACTTTGGTTGTAAAGTAATAGCAGCATTACAGAGGAAGTCTCTCTTTTACTGTTCATAGTGGTGCACTATTTTGATCCTCAACCTCCCATTCTAGCAAGGCTATCAAGAAAGTAGAACGTTTCAGTTTTCCTTGGATAGGAAACAAAATCTGCGTATATTGTCAAACCAATCATGACATGAGGAAAAGATTCAACCTAGAAACAGATACAGACTGATAAATAACTAGTTTTAATATCAAATCCATTAAAAAATAAAGCTCAATACATTAAAGGGATTAAAGTTAAAAATACAAGTTTGTTGGAGTAACTAGTGCCATTTTCTGTTCCAAGCTGGAACATTTCACTGTATGCCTGTGGACTAGTATATACGTCAAATACTATCGGATTTGCACTTACATCATGCCTTTAACTTGAACAAACCACAAAATTTAGCACATCAGAAGAGGGCAGGCATACTCATATAGCTAGAGAAGCACCAGTCCACTACAACTGCTGAGTACCATTAAAAACTATGGTTTCCCACTTATTACAGCTGCTGCTAAACTGTTGCACAAGCTTTACAGACTGGAGGACTGATGGTCAACTTTTGGGACAGCAAATATTCAAAATCACTACATAACAGCTGCTGCTAAACTGTTACCCTTCGAATAAATTCAGACCATTTATTCCCCAGTACCTCCACATGCCTTATGAAAATTCGGAATATATGGAGGAGATTCAAATGATCAAGGACTTAACATTAATTACTTGGAAACTAGATATTTTTGGATTAGTATCTAGATATTTTTGGATTAGTAACTCAATTTATGCATGTCTAGAAGCAACTTTAACCTACAAAATATAATGTTTAAAATTTAAAAAACTGTGCAAATCTAAGCTCTGGGAGTCATTGAGTTGATTTTTGTTAATACAGAGTNTTGAATCAATTCATTATTGGACACTATTTTTTTGATACAAAAGTATTTTTTTGGTACAATTTTATAGTGGACTTTTTTTGTGAACTCTTTTTGTATATTACTTGTATATGTCATTTCGATGAAACTATACTTTTGTAAAATAGTATTAACACTCCGAGTTTGAGCATTCATATATCTACACATTTTAAAATAGTATAGATAATTTCATCCCAAATACTCAACNCATTTTAAATTTTACTTTAAAGTTAATTCGACAGCTAATATTAACTCCCCAAATTTAATAGAAAAAATATGTCCCCTAAAGGTGTGTTTGAAGTAACTTTTCAAAAGTGTTTCTACGACTTATAACTTCTCATAAGTAGTGTTTGGAACTTATTTTAATTACTTCCAAATAATTCAAAAGTAGCTAGTAAAAGTAAAAAAAATAACTTCTACTTCTTTAAGATCACTTATCTACAAAACACTTCACCACTAGCACTGCTTCAACCCCACCACCATTGCCACCACGCACTACCACCACCACCACCATCGCCACCACCCACTACCACTACCACCATCATTACCCATCACTAATTGTTACTACCACCGCCGCCCACGACCATCATTATGTCATTCTTATATTTATTATCACTACCACCATCATCCCACCACCACCATCCGCCACCCACCACCACTACTCGTCGTCGCTCACCACCACCGGCATCCACTGTCACCCAACCCCACCACACCTACCACCACTATTCGCCACCACCCACTACCACCGTCGTCCGCAAACACCCGTCATCGCCCACCCTCACTCACACCCACCACCGTCATCGTCATTGACCATNCTCGTCGTCGCTCACCACCACCGGCATCCACTGTCACCCAACCCCACCACACCTACCACCGCTATTCGCCACCACCCACTACCACCGTCGTCCGCAAACACCCGTCATCGCCCACCCTCACTCACACCCACCACCATCATCGTCATTGACCACCACCACAACTCTCCATCGCCACCCACCACTACCACTATCGTCGCCCCACTGCCAACCACCACCACCATCGTCACTCATGGCTATCACTACCACCATCATCACTCAAAATTCACCACCACCATCACCGTTGCCACCCACGACTGCTACCACCACGGTCGTCGTTGCCCAAGTCTGCCACCACTACGGCTCACCCCCATTACAACTAGAGTTTAAATTCTTTTCTCTCTACTCTATATTTATGATTTGATTTTAGATGTGAATACAAATATGTTTAGGGTGAGACTATTCTCACCCCCACAAATCTT